GATCACAACAAACTGTGGCTGACTCTGAGAAAAATGGGAATCCCAGAACACGTGATTGTGTTTATGTAAAATCTATACTTGGACAAGGAGGCAGTCGTCAGAACAGAGGAAGGAAACACTGCATGGTTCAAAATTGGGATGGGTATATGCCAAGGATGTGTCCTATCTCCAAATATTTTCAACCTATATGCAGAACAGACTATCCAGGAGGCTGTGCTCTATGAGGAGGAATGTGGCATCAGGATTGGAGGTAGACTCATCAACAACCTGAGTTATGCAGATGACACAATCCTGCTTGCTGAAACTGAGGAGGATCCGAAGCACTTGCTGCAGGTCAAGGACTGCAGCCTCCAATATGGATTGAAGCTCAACATCAAGAGAACAAAGATTCTCACCACTGGGCTGACTGGCAGCATCATGATAGATGGTGAAGAGATTGAGACTGTTAATATCTTCAGCCTGCTTGGCTCTACAATCAACATTCTTAGTACCAACAGCCAGGAAATCAAGAGTGGAATTGCATTGGGAAAGTCTGTTTTCAGAGGCCTCACCGAAGTACTGAAGATCTATGATGTCAGTCTGTAGATTAAAGTGTGCCTGATCCAGGCCACGGTCTTTGTGATTACTTGCTATGCATCAGAAAGCTGGACAAGTACTAGAGATGATAGAAGAATTGAGGCCTTTGAGATGTGGTGTTGGAGAAAAGTACAGACTGCTAAGAGAACAAACACGTTCTTCCTGAAGTGGGCGAAGCCAGGCTGCTCCTTGGAGTCAAGGATTCTGAAGTTTCGTCTGACCTATTTTGGACATGTTGCAAGGAGGGACCATTCCTTGAAGAGTGACATCATGCTAGGGAGGTTGGAGGGACAGCACAAGAGAGGAAGATTCTTGATGAGCTGGACTGATTCAGTCACTGTGGTAATGGGGGTAGGTGCATCAGGGACAATAAGATTGGCACAGGATAAAGCAAGGTTTAGTGCTGTTGTACACAGGGTCATTTTGAGTCGCAAGCGACTTGATGGCACATAACAACATTATTCAAGTTTCTATACCAACTACTAAAGACAAAGATAAAGAAACTGAAGACTTCTACCAACTTCTGCAGTGTCAAACTGATAGAATTTGCAATCAAAATGCATTAATAATAACTGGTAATTGGAACACAAAACTTGGACATAAGAAAAATTGAAAGTCAGACAATATGCTTTTGGTGATGGAAATCAGGATGGAGGACACATGATAGAATTTTATATGATCAATAATTTTTTTAAAGAACCATAAATGACAACTATAAACATAGACCTCACCAGAAGGAATACAGATGAATCAAATTTATTATATCTATGGAAAGAGATGATGAAGAAGTTCAATATAATCAGTCAGGATAAGGCCAGGAGCCCACTATGGAACAGATTATCAATCACACATATACCTCGAGTATATCCCACCTGGACTCAGAGGCCAGCTCAAGAACTGACTGAACACACCATCCTAATGAGTTCTGATATGATTGAGCCCATTGTTGCAGTCGCTGTGTCAGTCCATCTTGTTGAGGGTTTTCTTCTCTTTCACTGATGCTCCACCTTTCTCAGCATGATGTCCTTTTCCAAGGACCAGTCCCTCCTGACAACATGCCCAATGTATCTGAGATGAAGTTTCATCATCTTTTCTTTTAAAGAGGAAGCTGCTTGTAACCTTCTCTAAGTTTCTTTTGGCAGATCATGGGATACTTAGTACTTTTTCTTAACACAATGATTCAATGGCATCAATTCTTTATCTGTCTTCTTTAGTCACTGTCCAACTTTCAGATGCATAGGAAGCAAATGATCAAAAGCATTAGGGAACTAAGATGGACTGGTATGGACCACTTTGATTCAAACAATCATATAATCAGTTATGCTGGGAATGACGAATTTAAGAAGAATGGTGCTGTATTTACAGTCAAAAAGAACATTTCAGGATCTATCTTGAAGTACAATGCTGTGGGTGACAGGATACTATCCATATATATATAAGGAAGTCCTGTTAAAATAACTATTACTCAAGTATACAACACAACCTTGAGTTTATCCCACCTGAATTTAAAAACCATCTCAAGAACAGATCTGATGCATTGAAAAGCAGATGAGTTGTGGGTGGTATCAAAGATATAATTGATGAAGAAAGCAAAAGATCATAAATGTAGAGAAGCTATGAGGATAGGAAGAAATGACACAGTAAGAGAGCTGAACAGAAGATTTCAAAGGATAGCACAAGAATACAAAGTAAGTATGTTAGTGAAATGTGCGAAAACCTGGAATTAGAAAACCAAAAGTGAAGAATATACTTAGTATTTTTAAACGTGAAAGAATTGAAGAAAACACCCCTCACATCTTATTGCAATACTGAAGGATCATATGGACAAAATATTAAATGATGCAGGATTTATCAGAAGACGATAGGAAAAAATACACTGAGTCATTCTACCAAAAAGAATTAGTCCATGCTCAGTCATTTTAGGAGGCAGCGCAAGATCAAGAACCAATAGTACTGAATTGCATTGAAGGAATCGGCAAAAGACTGGCTCCAGGAATGGCTAGAACACCAAGTGAGATGTTTCAACATGTGTATACTGAGCTGAACATGCTCACTCATCCACACCAAGAAAGTCTGAAGCAGGGACCTGGCCAACTTACTAGAAGGCATTTGTATTTGTGCCATTTAAAAACAGAGTGCATAAATTATTCAGCAGTATCATTAATATCGTACATACATACAATCTTTCTGAGGAGAATTAAAAATGGCAGGAGTTGTACATGGACAGAGAACTGCCAGAAAGTCAAGTAGATTCAGATGAAGATGTAGAGGATACCAATGCTGGTCCGATGGATCTTGACGAAAAGCTGAGGACACCAAAAGGATGTTCACTTGTGTTTTATTGACAAAGGCATTAGATGTGTGGATCATAACAAATGATATATAACATTGCAAAAAATAGAAATTCCAGAACATTTAATTGCAATCATGCTCTGCAGACAGACCAAAAATGTAGTTGTTCAAATAAAACTAGGAGATATTACATGATTTGAAATTAGGAAAACTTTGTATTAGAGTTGTATCTTTTCACCACATCTATTTAGTCTGTATACTGAGCAAATAGTCTAAGAAACTGGACTATATAAAGAAGAATTTGGCATCTGTATTGCAAGAAAACTCATAAATAACCTGAAATAAGCAAATAATACAACCTTAGTAGGGAGTTCTGGTGGCTGACTGGAAAGGAATTGCACTGTCAACCCAAAGACACATGGTTCGGATCCACCAGCTGCTCCACAGGAGAAAGATGGGTAATCTCGTTCCGTGTGAGTTACTGCCTCTGAAAAACCTCTAAAAGGTCACCTATGAGTCAGTTCTGACTTAATGGTACATAACAAGAACACGATCTACTTTTCTGAAAGTAAACAGACTTGAAGCACTGACTGAAGATCAAGAACTATATCCTTAAATGTATATTACAACTCAACATTAAGTTAACAAAAATTGTTATGACTGGACCAGTAAAACAGCACCATGATAAATAGAGAAAAGACTGACGTCAGTGATTTCATTTTACTAAGATCCACAATACATATTCATGGAAGCAATAGTAAAAAAATTAAATAACATACTGCATTGTGCAAATCTGCTGCCACGTACCATTTTAAAGGGATAAAAAGCAAGGAATAACACTGTCAAGACTCAGGTATAGTTAACCCAAGTCATGATATGATTAACTAGCTTCATCATATCATGGGGAAAGCTGGACAATACATAAGAAAGACCAATGAGCAAATGCCTTTGAATCGCGGGGTTGGCAAAGAGTACTGAATATATATACATTATCATGGACTGCCAAACAAACAAATCTTTCCTTGAAAATGTGTAGCCAGGGTGCTCCCTAGAAGCGAGGATGTTGAAACTTTGCATCACATACTTTGGTCATGTTATTAGGAGGGACCTGTCCTTAGGAAAGACATGATATTAGGAAAAGTAGAGTCTGTGAAAAAGAGGAAGATCCTCAAAGAGACGGACTAGCACAGTGATTGTCACAACGGGCTCAAATCCAGTAGATACTGTGAAGATGCTGCAAAATCAGGCAGGGTTTCATTCTGTTTCACACAGAGTCAGAGTGAGTCACAGTCAAGTGGATGGCACCAACAATAAGCTCTGTTCTACATGCATTATGTGCATTAATGCACTTACCCCTCACAACAACCTATGAGATAGGCACTTTGCTCTCTCCGTCTTAAAGAAAAGAAAAACGAGGCACAGAGCTGTGAAGTACCTTGCCCAATGTGGTTAACTGCCAGTTAGTGGGAGCTTGTGTTGAATTCATTCAGTCTGGCACTATAAGACAGAGGCAGCCTTTTCCATATACCAAGAAATGGAGACTGAGTCTACTTGTAGAAATAACAAGAAGGCTTCTTTAAGGAATTACTCATAGGCCTAATTATAAAAGCACAGAACCTTAATTATCCATGGTCAAATAAGAGAAAGCTTCAGTGAACCAGAGGTGTAGATTCAACTGGAAATTTCTAAGTGGCCAAAAATTATAAAGTGATGAGGGCTGTGAGCAAATCTCTGTTATTTCCCAAGAAGGAGCCATATCAAAAGGATAGAACTTGGTATAAAAGAGTTTACTAAGGATGAAAAGCAGCTCAATCCCACCCCTCCTCTCACGTGTGGCTTTCTACCCAAGATGCACTCAGCCTATGAGATCTTCAATGTGTTCAAATGTCACTGGCTAAAGCAGGGAGGCCAGCAGCTAAAAAAGATGCTAAATTATAAAGATTAAAAAATAAATTTAAAAGGCGCTTCTAATCAACTCTTGGTCAACCAAAGGCTTCTATTTCCAAGAACTTGTTCTGAACCCTCTGCGTGCACATGTCCACACATCTCCCCATCCCCCATAGTTAATCAACACCCTTAAATTCTCCCAATTAGTATCAGAATGAAGATGGTTTGCAACGTAAGCACTACTTACCGATCACTGCCAGATTATGCTCTGAGCCACAAGAGATCTGTAAAAAGAAAGACAATAAGTTATATCAGAAAAATTTAAAAATAGAGATATTTCAATCAGTACATTTTATGTTTTATAATTACATTTATTTTTTACAAATTCAAGAAAAAAGTTAGAGATGCCATATATAAGGATACCACATATTAGGTGGTGGTGGTTGTTGTTGTTATGTGCCATCGAGTCACTTGCAAGTCATGGTGACCCTATGTAAAAGAGCCCTAAACGCCGTTCTATCCTGTGCCAGGCTCGCCTTCTCTGACACACTCATTCCCACCACCCCAATCACAGAGTCGATCCATCTCATCAAGGGTCTTCCTCTCCTGCACCGTCCCTCCATTCTCCCAAACATGATGTCCCTCTTGAAGGACCAGTCCCTCCTTGCAACATGCCCAAAGTATGTCAGACGAAGCCTCAGAATCCTTAACTCCAAGGAGCATTCTGGCTTCACCCTTCCAGGACAAACCTGTTTTTTTCTCCTAGCAGTCCATGGTATATTCAACACTATTCTCCAGCACCACAGCTCAAAGGCATCAATTCTCTCTCTATAATCCCTAGTCATTGTCCCAACTCTCTGATGCATAGCACATAACTGCGAAGACTATAGCCTAGATCAGGCACACCTTGGTCTCTAGCCTGACATCGTTGCTCTTCAGTACTCTTAAGAGGTCCCTTAGAGCTGACTTCCCAATGCAATTAATCTCTTGATTTCCTGGCTGCTGTTACCAAGAGTGTTGACTGTGGAGCCAAGTAAACTAAAACTGTTAACTATCTCAATCTCTTCACCATCCGTACTGATGCTGCTAATTGGCCCAGTGGTGAGAATCTTTGTTTTCTTGATGTTGAGCTTCAATCCATACTGAAGGCTGCAGTCCTTGACCTTCTGCAACAAGTGCTTCAGGTCCTCCTCAGTTTTAGCAAGCAGGGTTGTGTCATCTGCATAACGCAGGTTGTTGATGCCTCTTCCACCAATCCTGATGCCACATTCCTCCTTGGATGATCTGTTCTGCATACAGATTGAAAAGGTATGGAGACAAAATGAATTCCTGACAGACGCCCTTCTGGATTTGTGTCTCTTTGCTCTGTTCTGACGGCTGCCTCTTGGTCCAAGTATAGGTTTCGTGTAGGCATAATCAAATGTTCTGGGATTCCCATTCTTCTCAGAGTCAGCCATAGCTTGTTGTGTCCACACAGTCAAAAGCCTTTGCATAGTCAATGAAGCACAGAGAGACATTCCTCTGGTAATCTCTGCTTTCTGCCAGGATGCATCTAACATTAGCTATAATATCCCTAGTACCATGACCTCTTCTAAATCCAGCCTACACATCTGGCAGTTCTCTGTTGACATATTGCTTCAATCGTTTGTGAATAATTTTCAGCAGAATCTTGCTTGCATGTGATATTAATGATAATGTTTGATAATTTCCGCATTCTATTGGGCCACCTTTCTTTGGAATAGGAACAAATATTGATCTTCTCCAGTCAGTTGGCCAGCTGGCTATCCTCCAGATTTCTTGGCCCAGCTTAGTGAGCACATTCAGGGCAACGTCTGTTTGTTGAAATATGTCAATTGGTATGCCATTAACTCCTGGAGCCTTGTTTTTTGCCAATTCCTTCAGAGCAACTTGAACATATTAGGCTAAGACCATATAATTACAATGCATGTACAATTAATTGTATGTATAATTGTCTAGAATAAAAGTAAAACAAGCAAAAAGGCACTGAATGGAAAGACACCAAGTTGTTAGTTATCTTTAAGCAGTGAGACCATGAGTGATTTTTTTTTAAATCCTCTTGTATTTAATAAAGAGAAAAGTTTTTTGAAAACTGAACTGGTAAGATTATCTCTCTCACATGGGCTGCTAAAAGTAAGCAAAGAATTCAATATAAACAGCCTTGTGTAAGGATAAATGTCTGAGTTTCCCTCTTCTCCCCATTATTACTTCCACTTTTTAACCCGCCATAGCATGATTTATTCTCTCACACTTCAGAGGTTTTTTTGCATATGCTTTTTGTTCCCCTGCCCCAAATGTGTTCTCCTCGACTACCTATCCATTAAATGTCTATTCATAATTTAAAATCTCAGTGTGAAATGTCCACTGAGACTGCTCTGTTGACTCTAGGTAGACACAAGCACTCCTTTCACATGTACCTGATCTAAACTTCCCTTTTAGCACTATCTTGTCACTTGACAGATTAGAGTATGTGCAACTTGCAGCTCTTATTGACCTCTGTACTACACAGATGTCCTGGGACTTAGTCAGTTAAATGAGAGAATAACTGAAAAAACAAAGTTTATAGATAACCAAAGCCTAGCACATAAAAGACATTTGTTTGGGGTTCTGAATACAGGATTTCCATTCAGTGAGAGACATCTTGCTTTTCAGGCTCCACATGCCCCACTGTTAGGAAGAGGAAGTGACTGAGAACATAAATGAACAAATGGCTCCCTGAGTGCTAATTAAAAGGAACCCTAGACTCTGGAGAAGCATTGTGTGAGATGCATGCTCACTTTTCCTTCTGGCGAGAAGGATGCAGGTACTCATGGAATGACAATGCATGAAAGGGCCTTTGCAGTCATCTACTCCAATCTTTCCACAGTACAAAGAGAGAACTGAGGTCCAGGGAGAGGAAAGAACCTATCTCAAGTGTCCGAGCCAGTGCTTGTCAAAACAAAGTCTAGATGCACTTTGATTGCCTCAATTCTCACAAACATTTTTCCCTGGAGCTTTTCATTCTTTCCCAGGGAAAATTACTTAAAGCTCAAAGTTTCTTAGCACAGGTCCTTGAAAGTTAAGGTAAAAGATTTCCCCAAAAGATAAAACCAACATCCTCTTTCTGTCCACAGAGATGACAACTGAGGAATATTCCAGAGATGGAACTCCTAGGGAGACGGACAGAAAGTTGGTCACGTTTGTGCACCTACATACATCCTGTGGGGATCTCTCACCAGTGAACTCTGGTCCAGCTTTTTAACTCATACCCTTGTCAGTACTGTTGAGACAGGTTGGTATTGCATCAAATAAGTGAAAATAAATGAGCAAAATCTCAAAGCTTTATTATAAATGGGGAAAGAAAAAGGATCAATAACATAAGGATTAATAACATAAAGCTAAGTTTTCTAAACATGAGCTTTATTAAGCATCTGTCTGTCACGAGCAGGAACTCTGGTGTCCTAGAGGTAAAAAGCTGTGCTACCGATCATAAAGCATACCGTTCAAATCCACCAGCTGCTCCAGGACAGAAAGCTGGGCAATCTCCTCTCATGCGATTTAAAGCCTCTGAAAATGCAATGCAGGGTCAGTCAGTCCAACTCGACAGCACATAACAAGTTAGATATTAGGAACATCAACAGTACAGCACAGCCCTCCAACACTTTCAGTCTAGGATAAAGGCCTGCAGCTACCTAAATCTTTAAAGGATGTTAAAAGACAGGAATGAGCAATGTGATAATGGAAATACATCGGTCAGCTGCATCATGCTGGTTGTTGTTATTTGTTGTGTACTGTAGAGTAAGAACCAACCCATACCTGACTCTCCACTGGGTTTTCAGAGGCAGATAATCATACGAGAAGTGACTGCACATCTCTCTTGTGGAGTAGCTAGTGGATTAGAACCTCATACCTTTGGGTATGAGCTCACCAAAGCTCCCTCACTATGATAATAAGATTATAAAGTAGGTTTTCTTCTGCTTTCTCTTGTCCAGGTATTTTTAATTGTGATGGTAGCAAAGATAATAATAGGAATTAAAGTTACCATAAGTAAGGATGTATAAGTTCCAGGTGTCAAACAAAGGGACTTTATAAATATTACCACATTTAAATCATTTCAGCAATCTCCTTCTGTCTAAATGAACAAAGTCTAAAATGGCCTGTATTGTTTTAGAGAGAAGGAAATTCAGAGACACTCAAATTACTTTCATAGATGGTTAAGCGGTAGCCCTGAGACTAAGCTTGTGCTCTTAACTGGCTGCAACACGTTATCTGTATTTTTAAAAATAAAGCTATTTTGTTTTATCAAATGCAGAGAGAAAAAGGACTTGCCTCTGGCTGCCAGGGCTCAGCCTGGGGCTGGTGATCACAGGGCTGACCAACCTTGAGGAGCAGGGGCTTCCGGAAACAAGTCACTGACAAATGCCAGTATCAGGCAGCAGACGCTGCTCTGAATTAATGAGTAAGACAGTGATGAATGGGTTTTCTCCAGGCAATGTAGAGCTTGGAGCTAAAGGCTTCCTACTGCATTGTGGTGCCTGTGCTTTGGCACAGAGGTCAGTAGACTGAACACCACAGGCCACAAAATCCCAGGGCTGCACTCCCTCAATGAGATTGTATCAATGACCGTTTGCTTCCTATCACTCCTGTCAACATCCACCTACTCTTCAGCTGAAGGCAGCTCTTATAAGACTCTGCTGACAATGGCAATGTGCCCAGGACAAAGAAATTCAGCGCTAAGAGGCCAAGTAAGCCTAGGTCTTCTTCCTTCCTGGCATTTAACCTCTCAGGCCTTACTTGCGTTCTAAGGTATAAAGAAGAGACAATGTCTGTCTTGCCTGCCTTTCAGAAATGCTAGAGGGAAATGAGATAATCCATTCCCTCACAGCCATGTGTCTCATCTTTCTTATGTACAAATGTGATCATAGCATGGTTTATTGAAAACCCTTCACTTGTTCCCAGCCTTGGGAGTTTAAGCTCCTTAGGAAAGCCCTCATGAGTAGGCCTCTGTTTACTTCTCTGGCTTCTTCTACTCATGAATCATCAAGTAAGACATTCCCTTTCTCCCATTCAGGCCACATTTCTCACATTTTCTTTAAGAACATTTCAGGCTTTTATGCAAGTTATTCCCTTGACTGGATTCTCTTTCTCCTACTGTCTACCTAGCTAATTCCTGCTTATCCTTTAAGACTGCTCAAATATCACCTCTGATAAGTATTTCCCGACTTCTCCAGATAGAACCAGCTGCTCCTACTGGCTACTTCCACCATGTATCACTCCCTTTATCAGC